TGAGCTGATGGAGGTGAGGGAGGGGTGAGGGGAGGGGTGGGGGTGGGGCGCGTGCAATTACCATCAAGGTTTTCCATCGCCTTCCCCTTGGCATGTGTGAGGTCGCCGCCGCCGTGTCATTATAGGGTGCAAGACAGAGCCATGTAAAAGGTCGGATTAATATCTATCATTATCCGGATTCTCCCTGATGCGACCTGATCTATGCACCGTAAACATGCTACTTCCCGAAGGATGTTCGCTCTCCGGCCCCCCAATTGTCCTTCCGAACGACCGCGTGCGAGAGAGTCCGTGACCCGCCGAGCCGTAAATAACCGGACGCTCGGAAATCAGAATACATTAAGTCATTACGCCGAGATGAAGTAATCTTGGTAATCGAAGGGTATTCGGTAGTCGGCGCGGCCAGTGGACCACCTACGAGGCCGGATACATACACACGATGCGGATTTATGTATCCGGCGAGGAAAGCATAACCTTCTGCAGGAGGCTCGCTCTGCACCCCGAACTTACAAGGGGTAATCTATGTGGACGATTAAGAGATTACCTGGGACTACTCTATTGCTACCGCACACGAGAGCTCATGATTCCACGTGCGCCAGCTGTCCCGCCGACCATGAATCCGTTTTCTATTGCGCGCTTTTTTTTCTCCCTCTTTGTTTTCTGCAGCACTCGGTCGCCTTCTGTTTCCTAATTTTTCGCCTCTCCCTCAATCGTTATTGTCTATTCTTCACTATTCTGGTTCGCGCCAAATTATGGTGGATGTTCTCAATTCGTCTCGTTCACATTTATCGAAATATTAATTAAATCTTCATCAATATAATTTTTTTAAAGGTTGAGAGCACAAAACTAAATATAGACCATCTCTAGCATTAGCGCAATGAGAAAGATAACATTTTAATATATCATAAACGAATAGAATAAAAAATATATACATTTTCAGCCAACCAAAGAACAGCAACAATACCGAAGCGACATCCTTGGAAATTCTCGAAATCCTCGCAAGCATTCACGCACAAAAAAGACTTAGAAAAAATAAGAGATGATAATAAAATAACAGCGAAAATGAAATATCCGAGAGACCGCGGGTACAAACAGAACTCCGCCATGTTTTCGTTCCAACACGCGGAGTCTAATGACCACTGTCCTTTCGCGAGACTTGCCGCGCTGTCGTAAAGGTTTCAAGGAAGAAAAGGAGGAGAATGAACAGGGAGAAAAAAGAAGAAAAATATGAAAAAGAATAAAAGAAAATAAAGAATGGGGAAGGGTATAGATAATGAAAGAGATGGCGATGGGCAGAGAGCATAAGTGAGTTAAAGAAGAAACCAGGGAGAGAATGGACGAGGAGACTATATATTTTTAGGAAGAAGGGAAGAAGGGGGAAAAAAGGGGAAGAGGAAGAGAAAAAAAAACGATGCTATTAACGAAACGAGTTAAAAGATAAGCAGATGACGTAAGAAAATCGGAATGAAACGAATTCAGAGAAAAAAAAACATACACAAAAAGTTCCCCAAATAAAGTAAAACACAAACAAACAAAAAAAGACCAAAAAACAACACGAAAAAAATATCCTCTTATCGGCTAACACCTAACCATATACGGCACCATGAAAAGAGGATGGAAAATATCCAAAATTTCCAAGAAGAAAATAAACCCCCAAATCGAACTCCATTACCCCGCGGACACTCCGAATCACATCCTGCAGGAACACCAACTTTTACTTCCCAAACTACAGCCCCATCAACAACGGCGTCCTTCTCTGTTCCTCTAATTGGATCTGGCCATCAAATCGCCGCTCAAAGCTACCGACAAACACGGTGGAAAGCTCAGGAAAAAAAGGTAGAAGAATAAATAGTATTAAAAAAAAAAACGAAAGAAAAAAGGAAGGGACACGCATAACAAAAAGGATGTCCAAGACGACCACGGTTCACATGAGGTGATTTTTAGGTGGTCATTAGAGCCGGTGTGTGTGTCGGGCTCGCATCATGCAGGGGACAAACTTAATTAAGCGGACGTGTCATTCTGGCGGAGGTCCTTAAGTACATCGCTAATGGAATGATAATGGGAGGCTGATGGTGCGCAGTTATTCTATCGGGGATGAATAATACCTTCGGAAGCAGGTGTTTAGGTATATATATGTATATATGAATATAAACATATATATATATATATATATATATATATATATATATATATATTATATATATAATGGACAGATACATCACACACACACATACAGACACACACACACAACACACACACACGCACACACACACACACACACACACACGCACACACACACACACACATACACACACACACACACACACATATATATGTAATATACATATATATATATATATATATATATATATATATATATATATATATATATATATATATACATATATATATATATATATATATATATAATATATATATATATATATATAATATAATATATATATATACACACATAATATACACACACACACACACACACACACACACACACACACACACACACACAACACACACACACACACACACACACACACACACACACACACACATATGTATATACATATATATATATATAATATATATATATATATTATATATATATATATATATATATATATATTCACTCGCACATTTCTATATAACAAGATAGCCATAGCAGTACCAATAAACAGCTGTCCTGCATTCACCGTCTGACGCGGAACATTTCCTTTTTTGGGCGAGTTCCTTCGCTATTGCTAATTTCTGTTTGGAAATTCCTCATCTCTTCAGACGTCTCTAGATCATAGTCTCGATAAAACGAATATCGTGTTGCGGTAAAATTAGGCCTATGTGAACTATTTCGTTATCCGATTTGAATAACAAAGCAGGTGCTTCCGAAGGATCTGTGGAAGGGGGCGAGGGAGGGAGGGAGGAAGGGTTAAAGGGGGAGAGAGAGAGAGAGAGAGAGAGAGAGAGAGAGAGAGAGAGAGAGAGAGAGAGAGAGAGAGAGAGAGAGAGAGAGAGAGAGAGAGAGAGAGAGAGAGAGAGAGAGAGAGAGTGAGTGAGTGAGTTAGGAGAGGAAGGTAGCAGATAGATAGATAGATAGATAGATAGATAGATAGAGAGAGAGAGAGAATCACGCAAAATCCGATATGTACACAAATAAAATAGAAATATGTATCTATGTATCCCCCCCTCACAAAAAAAGAAATAAAATAAAAATAAATAAATGAAAAAAAGGAATTTTATTTATTTCTACACCAACTATTTATGCCGTTCGCGCAAACACGTTTTACTTGTCCCACGATAAGACCACGAATTCCTTGCGCGAGCGTACACAAGGCTTCCTCTCTTGATACGTTTATAATTACTGGCCACGAACGATAAACACAATCGCTAATGCGGCCACATTAACAGACATTCCAACAAAAGGGCCGATATTTGGGCACTGACCCACCCCCCTTCCCCTCCCCCACCCCACTACCCCCTTCCTTATCCTAGCATCCCTGACTTCGCATATTTTTTTTTCTTTTTTTTTAAGAAGCTTTCAACAAGAAGTTTTCATTATGGGATCCTTTTCTCCCGATCGCAGAGATCCTGCGATAAGCCCCGATCAAGACGATAAGTGCGTCATTAGTCATTCTCGGCAAGGCGACGGCCCGACAGACGCCCGCGTAGCCACTGCTGAATGAATGCGCCGCGGCTGTTTTTCCTTCTTTTCAACTGTCATCCTCGCTCAGCGGCCCTCCCCGTCGGGCTGCGATGGCCCCGGCTCTCTGCAGAACGCAAAAATAAATAAACAAACCAAGCATCAAAGCCTACTACTACTACCACTCCTTACTTTTTTCTCCTTCTTTTTCTTCTTCGTCTTCGTTTTCCCCTTCTCCTCCTCCTCCTCCTCGATCGCGATGCCCTGCGAGTCTCCCGGTAAGTCGGCGCCGACTTCCTCCCAAGTGAAAGACAATGTTAATATTAGTCTCCGGACGGCGAGGCAGGCGCGGTATGCCGTCATGGCGTGATGGCGGGCCGGCCGTATCTCGCCGGCATCCCAGTCACGCCGGAGGAGCCGACGTCCTCCAGCCTACACGTCCCTTGCATGCTTATCTCGCCGATTAATCGCAATCAAAATTTCTTGCTGAATTTTCCGAGACATTCCGAGCAAGTTGCGTTCTCATATCATTAGCGGTTATTAAGAAAAAAAGGAAGGTGGGGAATCATTAAGAGATGGATAATTAATCTCTGATTCCGGCTGTCTGGCGTCTCGGTCTGATTAAATGATAGGAGGTGTTGTTTCTCCGGCTTCTGTGTCGGACTTTTTCTATATGTCCGCAAAAGGTAGATACATTGACAAATAGAAAGAAAGGTAGACAGATAGATATAGATAAACAGACAGACAGAGACAGTATGAAATTCCATCAAAACATTCGTTTCCACAAGATGAGCCGTTACCTAAAGTCTTACTGTACTGAAGAAACCGAAGCTAGAAAATAGATAAATTAAACAAATAAATGAATAATAGAAAGAGGAAGAAATCAAAGGGAAAGAAACACCATTTAATTTTCGAAGTAACATTCCGCGCCTTTGAAAGCCGCACGAATATCCTTCCATAAATAGACAATTATCACAGAAAACGCCCCGATAACTTCCATGCGTCTCCCCCCGCGCGCTCCTCCCGGCGTCCGTCACTCCGCCCAACACCCGTAACATGCAAATGGGCGAGGCGAGCCAAGTCCGGCGGCGAGCGGGGCCTTATGGCGTTCGCCGCCGCGTCCGCGAAGCCGCGTCCAGGTCTGCGTCTCACATGAAGCGTGAAACATTCCTTCCTCATGTTTTCAGAAAATGGAGGTTTTAGAAATCATTGTTATTACTCTCTCTCTCCTCTGACCATACACGGGGCTACTTAATAGCCTTGAATCATCCTGGCTCTGCAAACCCATGTTGCAAACAGCGAGGAGAATCCATGCAAGCGTGAGACACGAAGCTTCTCCCGCACGCAAACTCACCGTGTCGCCTCGAAGCCTCCCTCGCGAAGTCCCGCCTCCACTCT